CCTCATGTAGTTTGACAGTCTGTTCGACGCTGCTCTGCCTCTGTATCTATTTTTGTTCATAAGTTTATAATGGTCTTTATTATCCAGAAATGAGTGAGATCATGTGGTATTTTTCCTTCACTGACTGGCTTATTTCACTTAGCATAATGCTCTCCAGTTCTATCCATGCTGTTGCAAATGGTAAGAGTTCCTTCTTTTTTACAGCAGCACTTTCTAATTTCTTATAGCCAGTCTCTCCTCCTGGCCTCCCAAATCTCCTCCTCTTATTGTCTTTCATATTCTACTTAACCTAATATCTCATTTGCATTGAAATATTATTGCATAGAAACATTCATAGACTAGGAATAGCGGGAGGGAGAAGACTGACTAAAGAGTGACACAAGGGAGCTTTTGGGGATGATATAACTTGTATTGGTTGAGTGTGGTAGTCATTACATAACTAAATGCATATGTTAAAGTTCATAGAATTAGCCCTAACCGGTTTGGCTCAGTGGATAGAGCATTGGCCTGTGGACTGAAGGGTCCCAGGTTCGATCCCGGTCAAGGGCATGTACCTTGGTTGCAGGCACATCCCCAGTAGGGGGCGTGCAGGAGGCAGCTGATTGATGTTTCTCTCTCATCGATGTTTCTAACTCTCTATCCCTCTCCCTTCTTCTCTGTAAAAAAATCAATAAAATATATTTTAAAAAATGTATATAAAAAAATCATAGAACTATATACCCAAAAAAGGATACATTTTTATTGATAGAAGAAGTCATACCCTAATAAATCTAATTACCTGAAAAAAAATTTTCGGATCTAAATAAAGTATGTAGAAAGCAAATGCTGTATATAGAGCTATAAAGTAATTTTATACATATTACCCTACAAACATTTTATCTTAGTAAAATAGAGGCAAAGTAGAAGTAAATAGAACTGGCCATGTTATTTTTCTTGCCTGGTACGAAATATGACTTGCAATAGGCTAAGACTATAAACAGGCAGCTTATTCAATCTACTAGTGGGGCAAAAGGGACTTTTCTGAAAGTTCAGCATTACCTTCTAGAGACAGCTCGGAATCAAAGGTGGGCATCTTTTGTGACTGCTCACTCACAGAAGGAAGCATAGTGCTCTGGGCAGAATGCCCACTTGATTTGGTAAACTGGGAGCTATTATTCCATTTGGAGGAAGTCCTGTAAGTCTTAAATCCCCACTGGAGAAAGCAATTGTCAGAGGCCACCTGAGGCTGAGCAGAAAGTCCATGCAACCATGTTTGTCCTGGTCTCTGAAAATGGTTTCTGAGTTGTGCAGCAGTAATTAAGCTGCTCCGTTTAATTGAGTTGAACCATCTGGGTATCTGTTGGGCCGACAGGGCCATTTTTCTTAAAGTGGCCTGCAAAGGATATATGAATAACCATTAAAAAAATAGAAACGTACTTTATTTTAATGTTTAAAACAATATTCAAACAACCAAAAGATAAACTGAAAACTATTTTTTCAAATTAAAGGGTCTTTAATAACTTTAGATGAATAAAGTAGTCAGATGTTTCTTAAAGACAAGGAAAAAACAAGGCAGTCTCATTTCCAAACCAAAAGACAGGATCTAATAAAGTTATGCTTTACAATTTAAAAACAAAAAACAAAATCACTGGTGTAAGAAAAATATTTAAAACAAAAATCTGTAAACATTCAAATTATAGCTGAACCCAACAATCCCTGTTAATTTAATAATTTAAAGGAAGTAAAGTGATGCAATTTAAGTGTTCTTGAAAGTTGGTTTGTAGGACATTTAAGAAACAGATTGCTCATCAAAACAACACTGAATTATTCAAATGTATTTTATGTACATACAGCTGACCCTTGAACACCATGGGAGTTAAGGGTACCATGCCCCACCGCCTGTAGTCAAAAATCCAGGGATTGCTTTGACTTCTTCAAAACTTAAACTACTAATAGCCGACTATTGAACAGAAGAAGCCTTATCAATAACATAATGAGTTGATAAACAAACATTTAATATGTTATATGTACTATGTACTATACTCTCACAATAAAGTAAACTAGACAAATGAAAATATTAAGAAAATTGTAAGGAAGAAAAAATCTACAGGACTGTATTTATCAATATTGTTAAGTGTACTTGATAAACTGACAGTACCTACATATCAACATTGTCTTATATGATACGAAACACTGTAGATGCTATACGTATTACTAACACTAGACATGAAAGATAAAAAGATAACGTGAAAAAGAAATTTGCATTAACAGGTGTAACGATTCATGCATTGACAATAAAGAAGCACCAATAGAACTGCTTCATGGTTATCGAGGTGCCTCGTGTAATTGATATGCTTGTTTTGATATAACCTATACACTAATGAAAAATGGCTATGAAATTTTCAGGGCATACAATATGATTCATATTCATAATATAGTGTTGAAAACATTGTTACATTCTTGAAAATAACCACTTACCTATGATAGTATGCAGTTTCTACAAGTACTGGAGGGGAGTGGGAGGGGGAGACAGAAAGAGAGAGACTTAATGGTAAATGTAATTATTTGAAAGCAATGTTATAAAACAGTAAGAAAACTAACACATTATTAACTTTAAATTAAATACCATCCACCTTATGGCTATGTAAGGCTAGGCTATTCGCTTCCCTACAAGTCTCACAAATGATGTTCTACACGATGAATACTTTGTCTTAAATGAATCATTACTATTCTAGAAGGTTGCTTCTTGCTTCATCCTCAGGACTAAACACGGTTGCTTATTTCAGACACAGCTGTTACTCACAAGGGAATTGAACAAAATCAGTTTTGTCAAATTCTGTTTGTAGGAAAAAAGAAAAGAAAAGCCTTAAAGTCAAAACTCCCACCTAGTGTGGCTCAGTGGTTGAGCTTCCGCAGACAGACAGACCGACAGCCACTACACTTCCCCGCCCTCCGCAAAGCGGGCTAATTAGCGTGGTCTGGGTCCCATCAGCCACGGGCAGAAACAGAACAAACCCCCTCGACTGGGCCGCGAAGACCCCAAAAGGCTCCGAGGTCAGGACCAGGCCGAATCGGAACCCAACCCCGGCCGGGGCACCGCCCTCGCGCCCCACCGACTTCGCTTTACCTGCGGCGAGGCCTGGCCAGCCCGGCGGTTCA